TTTCCCTACTCTTAATAAAGCTTCATCTTTTATTTTGTAGTATTCCTTTCATTTAGTATTCCTTGTGGGTGATCTCTTGCTGTCGTTCTCTGCCTTCTCTGAATCTGTATGATTCAGTTTCCTCTCCTGTTTTCTTGTTTCAGTGCCATGACTTCTGGGTTTCCTCTTTCCTTTTCTTATCCAGGTTGTGCTGCTAAGAAAAAAGCCATACTTGAAAAACTTGACAATTGGACCAATATACCAGGCTTTTTTGTCCTTTTTGCTATTCTGATTCTTCAAAAGTTCATTCAATTTCTCTCTACTTCCTGTCTTTCTCCATTCTTCTCCTTTTATATCCTGCTTCTCTCAGCACTTTTCCTCTTTTCACAGTCCTGTTTTTCATCTCTCAACATTTTTATGTACCTTTTCTAAGCACATTCTACCTTCTTATCTCCTATTCTTTAAAAAATGCTGGCCTCTTACTATGTTGACTTGTTATTTTATCTGTTGTACCTTTCAGTGCCATCCTTGGTATGTTTGGTATTAATGGTAGTGCTGGTTTTTCATTTGACTTTTTTATTTGACAATGTTTTTGTTTCTATTTCCTCTTTTCTGATATCTTCTCATGCACTTTCTGATCTGTCAGTAATTTTCAGTGTCTTCCCAGAGGAACAGTGTGGAAGAGTGTGTGTTGGGGGGTGTGTCCTAGTTTCTTCCAGGAGTTTGGATTATATCCTTTTCTTAGCAGTTCACACTTCGGTCCTCATCTACAGCATTTCTGCTGTGTCTTCTCTTGGGTCATTTTTTTTCCTTTTGGACAAATATGTAGACAATGAGATGGGCATTTTCAAATGTCAGAACACAATGAGTTTTGCATTTTAACTGTTCACCCAAGGCACAGCTTGGCAAACCAGCCTTTAATTAGCCTGTGTGGGATGTTTGTGTCTGCTAGTGAAAAACAAAATAACCAGATCAGTTCTGCTGATGTTGTGATCTTCCACCTTTTTTCAACAAACTTTCAAGATCCTCATAGCCTTATCCAACCTGCAGATAACCTTTTGCCATCACTGCTGTCTCCTCAGAAGTTCTTTGGCATTTTATCTGTTGAACTTCTTATTGTACCTTCCTTCGTTTAAGCTCTGTATTAAATAGTCATGGATCATTTAGGCTAGCAAAAAAAAAATAATTACATCTTTCTGAATGTAATTTTTACTGTGTCTCCTCTTAAAGTTGTTCATGCAACATTGAGACAACTTTTGTGTTGATATAAAATGTGTTTTCAAATATAATTTAATTTTTTTGCATACATTTTTAGTATAGTATTATTTTCTAGTCAATATTAATCTTGGTGTATTTTAGTGTTTAAGTGATTCACTGCAACTCCTGTAAATAGACATGGCAACTTTGTCTTGATTTATTTTTTTTCTGCCCCACCTCCTAGCTGTTTTCTTAAGGTGTCCTCTCTGGTTTAACCTCTTGCAGAGACAGGGTATTGAGTTACAAAAGTACTTGTTTTTTGTAGAGTGCTGCTTATTCACATGAGCCGTGACAATAGAAAGTTATTCTGTTAACATATAGGAAATGACAGTTCGGTGGGAATCAACATGATTTGTCGGTAGGTTTTTTGAAAATCAGCTATTTTGAAAAGCTGATAGGTTTCTGCCACCCTTCCAAAAGGTGGTATCATGACTGAAAGCTACTGCAGTGTTGGCTTCCTGAAACTGTAGACAGCTCCAGAATTCTCCATTTTTACATGTGTTTCTGGTTTTTTTCCAAACAGCAGCAACCAGAGTTAAGCAAAACTGCTTGTTGGAGTAGGAATATGTAACATGACAAAAAAAGAAGTTTTAGTTTATATCACTGGAGTTCTCTCAGGACACAATACCAAAGCCATAGAGAACACAGGGAAGGAAAAAGTATTTTTCCAGCTCTTTCAAGCTCAGTGATTTTAAGGGCTGGGGCAATCACTAACTACAGTTTTCTTTGATGTGCCAAAATAACTTGTGCCGTTGACTTATACTGAAGGAGAATCTCCCTTTGGTTCTTTGAAGTCATCAGCTTCCTAAGAACATAAATCCTGTGATTCCTTTCCTTGGTGTTTTTCTTGACCAACCTGTCTGGGCCATCACGAATCTTTCTTCATAGATCTAAGTGTTATTTTCAAATTCGTGTCCCTCTCTGCCTTGTAGAGCTCAGTAATGAAGGCTTAAGATTCCAACTAGCCCCATGCTCCACAGAACAGGTTCTTATGTGGGCTGAAAGCAGACCCACCTACTGGCTGTGCTTCTGGTGATTTTAATGGCACTGAGACAATTTCTACATGATGTAAATAGCATAATGGAGCACTGGAACTCGCTGCTTGGAGAGGTTGTGGAGTCTCCCTCTCTAGGAGACTTTCAGGACCCATCCGGACACCTTTCTGTGTGACCTGCCTTAGGTGGTCCTGCTCTGGCAGTGGGGTTGGACTTGATGATCTCCAGAGGTTCCTTCCAACCCCTAACATTCTGTGATTCTGTGATTTCACTCAGCTGGCTGTGCTGAAACCAGTAAGAGTTGTACTGTGCACTTGGCACTGCAGGTATTCATTAGGATAAATCCAGCTGGACACTTTGTGGTTACTTTCTCCCTGATACAGAAAGGAGAAGTTGAGTGATTTTTAGTAGAGTTAACTTAATACACTTTTGTACCAAGGCATTGAGACAGAATTATTGACCATTAGCAATCAGCAAATATCTGAGTTACTAGTAGAGCTAAGGGGTTCTCAGAAGTGTATTCAGTGTTTGTCTGACTTGTGTTCTGTTCAGCTCAGGTAAAGGACTGACAGCTTTTACCTGAGTGTCAGAATTTAAGGTATAACAAGCAATTTCAAATGTTTTTAATTAATCTGGTTCTTTTTGTAGAGAGTTCAGGAATACCCAGAGGAGTACTGATTGCATTACTACATTCACAGGAGCATCAGAAAATAAGGTATATAGATTTGCGTGTGTGTAGTAACAAGATCAATTCTAGTCCTTAACTAAGTTCTCCTATCTATACTAATAATTCTAATAATAAGAATAAATTCTAAGCAATTACGTGAAGAGAGATACTTAATCACTTAAGAAATAGTTGTTTATCTAGAAGTTGTCTTATGGTAAATTTACATATAGAATAGGTTTCTTATGTTTATGTTTGGGCAAGAAAGTGAGAATGGTATGATAAGACATTTCCAGCAGCTCTCAAAGTTGGTTCTTTATGGAAAATCCCCCTGTTTTAATTAATATTTTTTTTCTATCTTTCTAGCACAAGAGCTCTTTGCTCCAGTGATAGAGGAGACCAACTGAATGGTTACCAAGGCAGGGCAGTGTTGTGACTGTTGTTATACAGCATGAATGATGTGAGGCACAAAGATGCAACTCTTCATGAATGAGCACTGCAGCACCTGTCCTAGAAGCAGAATTTTCTAACTTCCCCTGGCTTGCTGCCCATAACTAGATACTTAAAAAACAAAATAAAACTCCACTACTTCTTTCTAGAATTTCTATATTGTTGCAGACTTCACTAATGTGTGTGTTTCTCTACCTACATATATAAGCTCACATCTTTTCCACTCTCTTTCTTACATTTGTCTGGATTCTTTAAAGAAGGGCAAACTAAAGGTCTTTTGAAGATGTGCTCTTATTATTGATAGACTTCTTGGGCATAAGAACAGTTTTGTGGAATAACTTACTGCCATAAATAAAAGCTATGTGACTGAATATGAGGACCAAACTTCACTGCTGATCATTTGGTATTCTTAAAACCATATTATGATAAATAACTTTGTCACAAAATACACAGGCAACAGTTTGTTCCAGTAAGTAGTACACAGTGTTAATTTTGTGGGATGTTTCAGGCACTTTTTATCAGAGACATGACCTTTATATTTCTGTGCCCTTTTTATATAGGGGAGTGAAAGTATAAGAATTTTTCAGAAATTAAGATAGATGGTATCTGAGGGGGTATGAAAGAAGAGAGGTAAATGGGCCTTTATGCTTTTTAGAGGTCCAGAACTTCCTCTATGAATTCTTTCCATAAGAGAAATGTCCTCAGTCTGTTGTGAAGACAGCTCAGCAAGAACATGCCATCAGAGAGGAGGACCTTGGTGAGAGGGCAGCAGCAGTACTGACTATTCAGAGTTCTTGTTGGCTCTATGAGCTCCTCTTAGATCTCTTATTTCTTATATAGTACTTCTTTAAGGTCTGTTACAGATTTTACCTGTGACAGCCTATCTTTTGCAGTGAAACTGATGAGAAATAACTCTCTGCATAACTTACCTGCCTTTTCTTTTACACACTATCTTTCCTGTTTGAGTAACCTTTAAAGAAAAATCCTTTGGTGATAGTGGCTGCCTGGTTTTGTTACTTAAGAGTTCACACTTTGATGTTCACAGGAAAACAGCAATAACTGCACTTTTTTTCCCCTGGCTGTAGCGTCCTGCTGTGCAGTTCTGTTTTGCCTTTTTTTTTTTTTAACAGAGATAGGCAACATATTTGTCTGTCATTGCTAGAATTGGATATTTTCACCCAACCTGTTTCAGTTCAAGCCATGTAGTGCTGCCTCTGTTACTCCTATGTGCATGGAATTTCAGTGTGGTTATCTTCAGACTTGCTGGAATACTTATTACTATGATCTAAATCGTGTGATCTCTGAGTTTCCTTTTATCAAGTTCACTTTTATTTGTAACAAATATGAACAAAAGCAAATCCCACTTTATGCACAGAATTAACATGGTTTCTGAGAAACTGCAAGCTGTAAACACATTTGTGATTTGGTTCTGGTTTCCTGATCTTGTTCATTCTGTGAATTTGAAATAATCATATGAGGTCAACATTTATCACAGTGACCAAGTCTATGTTCCCTTTAGCATGAGATACATTTGTTCTTACTTTATACTTCTTTGATTCTTACTTGACTTTTTTTTTTGTTTTAGATAAGTTAACACAATGTGGAGCAACAATTCAAATGAGGTGCCTCTACAAAATCCAAGGCAAAACCAAAGCAAGGATTCTACCAGAGGTATGGATTGTGTCTGTTTTATTGCCTTGTTTTGGAAGCTGTTTTATCACAAGATGTTTGAAACTTTAGGGAGCTTTTATAGAAGCCTTCTCCTGCCTCTGTTTGGAAGTGAAGACCGTGTGTTCCATGTCTTCCTTTTTGCAGAGATAGCAGTTTCATACTCTGATCTGCAGAGTATTTGCTGATCTGCATTAGGAATTGCCAGCCTGTGATATGGTTGCCAAGATGGCACAGAGACAGATTTTTTTGAGGAGGAGCAGTGCAGGAACAGAAACTGGAAACTAGGCTCTTGAAAGAAGTGAACTGCCTGAGAGGCAGTTGCTCCCAACTCCTGCTTGGTTCCAAAGTGTTGAAAAGCTAAAGACACTTGAATAGCAGCAGTACATCACCACTAAGATGACTTGGAGCACTTTTGTCTCCCTGAGCTGGAGAAATCCTGTTAACTTTGTACTGTTATGATTGCTCTGTGATTTAGGAAAGGAGGGGGCAAAACAAATAGTAATTACAGTACATCCCTGAGAGGAAGAAAGTTCCAGTCTGTAGAGCAGCTGAGTCGCATGTTAAGTCTGTGGATCAAGATCAGTCTTATGATTTCCACTATGATAAAACAGGATTCCAGAAGTTATTTGCAAAGCAGAGACAGATTATTATTTTATCTGTAACATTATTGCTGATTGTTTCCTGGGATGTGTTCATGTTCTTTTAAAATTATGTACCTTGTGAAACTGAGGTGTTCTGTAAACATGAAGCACCATTTCTTGAAGTCGAAGCAAAGTTGTTTCTGTGCTACTTTGTTAACCCTCTCCCTTTCTCTAGTTGCATCTTACCTGAAATGAATCTGGCAGCTGTTTTATTAGAAGGAAAATAGTACTTTTTAAAATGTTTTTCTAATGCTATTACTCTCCAAGGTTCTGACGCACGTGAAGGTTTTGGATGTTGTATAAACCATTAGATTAGAGAAAATAATTAGAAACCAAAAGAAGAGGGGGACTAATGCAGTAAATATTTTTAGAGGAAAATACCACTACATCCTACTGATCTGGATTGCACATAGAGCACGTGCTGTCTGTTCAGATTAGAAGGCTGATGTTGATAAGTGCCTACTGCTTGCTCCTTGCAAACATTGCTTCAATTTTGTTTGTAGGATTTAGAGTTCAAAAAGATTACTTTTCAAAATTCATGTGTTCATGGCTTGTTTTTTGAGTAGAGTCTTGCAGTGACCATGTATTCATGCTTAGTTTACTGAAGAAGAAAATGGACAAGTAAAAAGGAGTAGTTAAACTATAGCTTAATGGAAAAATGTAAGATATTTGTGTTGGAGTAGATAACCAGCTTTATTTTATCTCCTGAACATCTTCTATAATGTGTGGTAGATTTTATTTCAAGTGTAATAATGCATTCAATCTAACTTAGTGAACTCATTGAATTTCACCTTAAATACCTTATTGCTGTGTTAAGAAGAGTGTTGACTGATAACAACCTCTCATGGAGGAGACTTACAAGCTGAAATTGAGTCATAAAAAGGACTTGATTAGTGAGCCCATGAAAATTGTTTTGAAGCAACATTTTATTTTATTGTTTTCCATGTACTAATGAGAATTTTATTTCTATTTCTGCCCTGTAAGATCTAAATGCAGTATGGGCTACATTTTCTCAGACTAAGGCTGCTGTAAGTACTGATATTTTCTTTTTTTTTCTTTTTTTTCTTTTTTTTTTCCCCTGCTCCTTTTCAAATCAGTTAATGGCTACAAAAGCTTTAACCAAAGTATTGTTTTGCTCAGTGGTTTTCTGTAAAACAAGTTGAAAATAGGGCAAGCAGTTGGATTAGGTCCACATTTTGAATACTGTTGGATCTTGGAAAAAGTTTTCCACATGCAGTGGAAGAAATTTTTGCCACAGCAAGCTTAGTTTTGAGTATAGTAAGACCTGCTAAGTCTTGAGTGTAATATCACCTTTCTAATTAAGAAAGCGGTCACTTATTATTGAGAAAACTTGAAAAAATAGCTCTTCCCTCTTTACTCAAACCAGTCAGAAACTGGGACAACACCGGTGTATTTCATAATTTTCTATCTTTGAGCCCTGGAATTGCTGTCTGGATGTGGGAACTTAAGTACATAAGACATCACACTAGTTTCTAAAACCTGGCTTTAGTGAAGACAAGCAGCTTTTTTTTTCAGAGAGTTCAGCTCTTTCCTGTAGCCTTTTCCCTCTCTTTTTTTAATAGCAGAGCACTAGTGTGAGGTTTTACATGTGTAATCTTGTGTCATGCTCCATTTTCAAAAGAGTGTTACAGAATTTATTCCAAGTGGAATTAATATTTCATTCAGGCCAAGCATTAAGATTCTGAATGGCGTGTTGTTATTTTTTTGACAACAGCCTACTTATGGAAACAAAACTATGCAACAGAACCTGATTTAGATAATCTTTTTAAACAAAACTCAATAATCTGACGTGTTTCTGGCCGTAATGCTGTACAGTTTTGTAACATCAGCCATGTGGAGTTGCTTTTGCCTGCAGTTTTATTCCTTGTGAGGAAAAATTTGTCATGTTGGGGGGAAAAAACCCTGTAGCTTAAAAATTTAATTTTTTTTTTCTAATTTGCATTGTCTTCAAATTCTAGCTACGTCATATAGAGAACAAATTGGAATTAGTTCCTACCAGCACAGCTGCATTTGCTTCTGTCATGGATGCCAAGAAGCCCTCTGCTAGCTCCAGCAGGAAGATAAGCAGAAAGGGTATGTGTTATTGAGGACAGTGTAAAGCCACTGTGTTCTGGAAATACTTGGTTTCTCCTCCCTGACCCCTGCTAGAGATTTATTCTTGAAACTCTAATTGCCCAGGAGAAAATAATGGTTTCTTCCCTTAGCTTAGGGAGGAAAGTGTGCTGTCCTAGTCACTTGGTTAGAGGGAGTGACAGGACTTTTGTGAGGGTTTTGGATGACAATTTTATGTGCCTGTGTTTACAGTGGACTGGCTGTTAATATTTTTTAATGTTAGTCAACTCTAGTATAGAATGCTAAACCTGATGCTTTTAAATTTCATCTAAGGAGTGTTTTCTTGCAAGAAACAAGCCCTACTTTTAAATACTATTTAGAGCATTCCAGTAGTGTGCCACTGGGAAAGAACGGACAGATCGACCTCTAGTGGCAGCACAGTCAACTTTCACAGATATAATTAAGATGAACCATTATCATATCTTTTAAAATCAGATCATTTTTTCACACATTTACCTCCTTGCTCCTGGTTGCTGAAATCAGCTTGTTGAAAATTGGAGGGAGCATTTTAATTGCTATTTTTGTGTTGTTAACTGCTCAGCCTCAAGAGCTTGTTTTTGCTAGAGAGATAAGTACATGGAGGATTCTTTGGTTTCTGCTTCAGCTTCCAGGTCCTCCAGCCAAAACAAATCAAGCAAGGAGAAGTCCTCACGCAGCCCTCTTCGAGCAACCACTCTTGAAAGCAATGTGAAAAAAAGCAATCGTGTGGAATTCCGTGAACCACTGCCTTCATACAGGTTAGTGCTGGGACAGCTGACTCAGAATAAGCTAATATCAGAATTAAGCTCATAGTTAGGTTTTTGACAACTCCTCAAAAACTGCTTTACTTCCTCCCCTCGCCCCTCAACACGAGCAGCGTGTGGTGTTGGACAAAAGTGTCTTCCTTTTTAAAAAAGGTTCTGAATTTATTTTCTGTTTAGTGAATGTGAGTTTAAAGTCAAATGTGTTGAAATGGGACCAGATCATCCATTTGATGCGACTGTGGCCTGATAGGTTTGATTAGATATTTCATTTCAGTAATAAGGACCAAAAAGAGTATTTCCTTACGCTTTTCCAACTTTGTTTCTTTAGTTCTTTAACACAAATTCCCAAATGTCTTACCATAAGACAGTGTAGAGAGTATCTAGTAGTAAAGATGTATTCAGTTTGTCTGAGAAACCCAAATAAGAGCAGCTGTATCACAGGAGAAAAAGTAGCTCGGAATGTTGCAGGTCATAGAACCCAAAGGGGGGGGGGGGAGGGTGAAGAATCAAGGAAACTACGGAAAGCTTGTTTTTCCTAGCCTATGTTAAGTACTGTAGTGAATATAAGATGCTTCAAAAGCTTTCAAAAAGAAAGAGAATCTGCAGCAGAAATAAACTAGTTATAACTTGTTGTAATAACAGAGCCTAGAAGGCTTTTACTGTAACTTCTTCAATTCTTGTGTTTTATATGCGGTGTGCGTTCTTGCACGGGCCTTATCCTTGATGAATAGCTTGGTTGGGTTGATAATAGTTTTTTAGTGGATTTTAACACATACTTTGCTTTTTTTTCCCCTAAATATTCTCCCAGTGAGGTCAAATTGCTGTTGACTGATTAGAGTGGAGCTGGGACAGTGATTTGTTAGTTTGTTTTTAATTCCATTACATCTCTATTTGTAATTGTTATCCTAACATCTAAGTTTTGGTCTCTTTCTATTTCTTCTGTCAGCTGTGAGGTCCTTCTCTTTCTTTGTTGCATGGGAGGCTCACTTGGATCCGTTTTTTAATCTTGAGACAGTTTTGTTAATTGAACAGCTCTGTTGTTTACCCTATCTGAAATGTCTTGCACGCATCAGTTATTTGTTTTAAAAGCATAGTAAATTTAGCAGACTCCAGGGAAAAGAAGAAAATGAGAGCAGCTAGACTTGTGCCATTATATCTAGTTGAAAAGAATAGCTATCTCACAGTAAGATGACTGTATGGCACTGGGGGAATTAATTTGGGGATTAACATCAGAGCTGCTAGATTAACACATTACTCCTTCTCTGAGAACAGCCTGTCTTTTAAGTATGCATAGGACAACAAAAGCAGAATAATGATTGGGACAATCTGTGTGTATATTTATATATACTTTTGGTGGAAGTTTGTGCAAATTCTGTGGTTGGACTTGATGATCTTAAAGGTCTTTTCCAATCAAAACAATTATATTATTTTGTGACTAAACCACTCAACTCCTGTATTGATTGGTAATGATTCCTACACTGTACAACAGGAATGTGCTTCTAGAGAAGGAAAGGTCGACAATTTCACAAATACAGTGTTAGGACCTGACTTACATGAGTTCTTGAAGCATACTTGCTAAGTAGCTTAGGTGTCAGATTTCTACATCTTTAGCCTCTTACTGATAAAAATATTAAATGCATTTTTGTCCTGACAACACGTACCATGAGTCTGTTGAAATACAGAGTCTGTTTTTCTGTGGAAAAAAAACCTAAAAGATCCTTCATCTCTTGAATTTCTGTGTTCTTGGTAAGCTGTTGTTGCAATGCAGCCAGTTCACCAACGTTCTTGATAGGGTCTTGCCTTTTTAATGCTTAAATACAGGGTGGGGGTTTTAGTCCAATTTATTTGTTTTCTGAGCTAATGATTGTGCTGCTGAGAAGGCGTGCGTGTGGGAGTTGCTTTGTTTTAGAGAATATACATTATTTATGCTTCTATGTAAGTTTTACACTTTTTAAAATTAAAGGGTGACATTACTGCTTGCTCATTTTTCTGCATGCCCTAATTTTAGCTCCTCGATTTTATATATAGCCCTGTTCAGCTAGAGAGGGCAGAAAATTAAATATTTAACAGAAACCTCTTTCAGTTTTGTCAGACTTGCACTATTAAATGTGTGGTTATCAAACTTTAAAAGAACTCGACTTTAAAGTGGAGACAAGGTCTAGGAAGCTGTTCTTTTAGTTAATGAACATGCTGCTTGCTGGGCTGGAAGGTCCTACAGTCGTGTTTCTGCTGATGACTTTCTATTTTTCTTCTGTCAGGGACACATACAGTTCTCTGTCTTACCACAGTTCTAATCAACTTGAGGCCAAGCAGCTGCTCTCTAGTTTGGACCTCAATGAAGCAGAAGGAAAGACTGAGTTAACAGGCTGTGTGCTACATGACCAAGATGAGAGGGACCTACACAGCAGAGGTTCTGAAAGCCTGTGTTCTGCTGCTGCCGAGGAGACTGTTGTTAGGTATTTGAATGACCAACCGGCAATTGATGCCTTGCAGAACAACGAGGCGTTTCTTAAGTTTGCAATACCTCCAAGATTGGAAGAGGAAAAGACTAGTGGCTCCAGACGAGAAGAGAGTAGCATGAAAGCTCCTCAGAGTAATGCACCCCAGGAGAGTGAACTGAAGGTGTGTTCTCCTTCTGCCATGAGCACTTCTGCTGGTGCTTATAGGCTGGAAATCTACAAACAGCGGCAGCACAGTGCGAATTTGGAGAAGCTGAAGGAGAGGATTCGAGAGCAGTGGGGACATGCTGAACTGCTGGGTGGCAGAGGGCAGCACTCAGGATGTGCTGAGAAACCTGTTGTGGTCACAAACGTGGAGAATGCCGTGATTCCCAAAGTCAGGAAAGTGGCAACTGCACCTGCTGCTCCGTCATACAGAGGTATGGAGGCACAGGATCCCTCCCTGCTGGTTAAACGTGGTGAAGGAGTGGAGTTCAATTCATTGAGCAATATGTCAAAGGGTGGACATCACTCATAGCTTGTGTTTGGGCAATACAGGAGTGGATAACATGGTTTGATTACAAATACAGATGAGAAAGAAAGTAAATTCTTGCCTATTTTACGGAATTGTGGCTTCTTTTGAAATTCGACCCGTCTCTTCTTACGAACTGCTATAAAGAAGCAGCTCACTGTCTTACTGTTTGGGTTTATTTTAATTATTTATTTTTTTTATGGTCTCAGTGGTTATTAACATTGTATTGATTGGGAAAGCTTTCCATGTTTTTAATAGTGTTTTCATCCAGTCTGCTGTTCTTCAACTGTGAGCAGGTGGCAGACTGTTATATTGCTTTCTTCTAATTTAGCACTAGAAATTAAAGTAGTTCCTTTCTTACTTGGCAGTTTCTCATCCCTTCCACCCTTAAAAAGCTTCAATAGCATTTTACACAGGTATTTTAAACTCTTAATTTGTTGCTTTCAGGTTTTAATCCTGCTGAAACAAAGATTCGTGCTCCAGATGGAAAGATCTGGGATGAGGAAGAATTCCATGTTGGTCGTGAGCTCTATAGAGATACAGCACTCCATGTAACAGGTGAGACACAAGCTGAATTGATTACAGTACACAACCTTCTCCAAGAGGCAGAGAAGTTTATTTTGAACAAGTCTACCAAGTCACGGAAACAAAAAAATTGAAGACATGATTGTTAAATACATTGTACTTTTCTCCACAGAAAGAGTAACTTGTTGAACACTAAAAGGAAAAATAAAAAGCCTCTTCCCCATTCTCTGTTAAAATACTCTTAATAGAAAATTAGTACTGAAAAAAATGAAATTGTGACTTTTCTTTGAAAAAGGAATTGGAAATGCCTTCAATAGAACAATTTTTGCTTAATTTTATAACTTCTTGATACATGTGCATGTGAATGAATGCAATTTCCCATTTAAAAGGCAAAACCAAACCACCTTTTGATATCTTATCTCTAGTATCTCGTGGCAACAATTTATTTTTCCATAATAAACACTGTTAAAGTGATTCAAGCATCGTATGTTGAGGCCTGAATTCTACATCCTGCAATACAGTGTTAACAAATTGTTGGTCCCAAAGCTGGTGTGGGAATGTTGGTAGTTTATTTGGAATGTATAGGTGGTTAAAGGGAAAGTGGGGGACATCTGCTATGGAAAGTCTCTGGGAATACTTATTTGAAATGCAGTAGTTAGCCTCCTGTCAAAGGGGTATGCCTTCAAGTATGTGTGGTAGAGCTAAGGTTATGTGGCATTAGGTTGGTTTAATATCTCTGAACTTGTAGAATTTTAGTGCTTTATATCAGAATAATCCAAGTCTTTGAGTTCTTGGAGAAATTTGTGTCCTGGAAGTCTGAACACAAGGACTTTTTTTAGAGGTCTTCCCTGGATTCCCTCAGGAGTGGGAGAACAGGTAGACCAGAAGAAGGTTTTAAGAAACTTTTAAATTAATCTGGATTTTATTTTCTCTAGAAGTCTTTTACCTTCAGTATTGTAAGGCTTGGATAGGATATGGGAGGGGGACTTTGGAACTTTACACTGGTAAACTAACAGGTTGTTACCTTTGGAGTTTATTCCACATTAAGGTATAGAAGAGAATATTGAATGCTAAAAGCTTATAAAACTGCTACTCAATCCTCTTTGCTTACTGGTATTTTGAAAAACATGACGTGTTTTTCCAAAAAGGCAACACGGGAAGAAAAGGTCTAATTTAGATCATAAACTCATTTAGCAACACAATATTCTGATGCTTAAAAATATGAGCAAAGATTATTTTAAAATGCCTGGTTTTAGCTTGACAGTTACTCTTCTAAAAGACCAAAAATGTAATACATTCTTTATTTTCTCAGATGTACTGCTCCAAGACCCAATCTTTATTAATTTTTCTTTCTGAAAAACTGCAGTACCATTGGCAGCTCTTTTCTCTGGGTGGTCCAGGGTAGGATGCCCAGTGTGCTTTTTACTTGCTAGGCTGGTTACAGTGGAGCACTGTAAGATTGAATTGCTTTTAACTGACTGAGCTGGAGGATGGGGGAGAGATCTAATGAGTAAAAAGGAAGAAAATGGAAAATAAAATCCCCTAAGAACCTTTACTTTTACAGCTGAAGAGTTTGTTTATGGCATACTAAAAATAATTTTTCTCATTGATCTAAACATATTTAAGACTGGAGGAAATGTGATGAGATTATAAAGCTCTTTGGATGTTGATAGTATAATGAATGGTATGGAAATTACTAGATTCTTTCACTAGTACAGCTTGACAAGGCACTGAGGAATTTTTGTGGAATCACTGAAAGTTCAGAAAGGTTCTTTTCAATACAGTTGTTTTGCAGATACTCTATTCAGCATCAGTCTGTGTATGTAATGCCAAATCTCTGAAGACATTTCACTTCCACTAGACTTTCTTCTCATTTTGACAAGCATAATATGAGTCATTCAAGAGGTCTCCATAGAAATCCAAATTTTGGAAAAGTTTCATTGAAGAGGTCTGATGAAAAAGGCCTTTGGATCATGTACGTGTTCAGTGGACTCCTGCCTACAAAAGGAAGGAGTTGTGTGTGTCCTGGTGCCCTGCACAGAACAGCTGTTGTGGAACATGTCACCCTTCTGACCTGAAAAGATTATATTGAATCGCTGATTCCAAGTAATCAAATGCTGGTGCTGCACATCATATTTACTATAAATGTATTTTTAGGTTGTCAGATTATCTGTCCATGTGTTAATTCTGTATTAAAGTTACAGCACGTGGAGTTTTGGATGTGTGCATTCAGTTGTATCAAAACTGTTCCATGCTCTCTAGAGCTAAAATAAGCTAGAAGAGCTCTACTGTCTATTGAGTCATTGTTCTTTACTGCAACAAGATGTTTACATCTATGCTTAGACCATACAGAATATCTTTGTTTGGCAGTTAGGCTAAAGGATATTGTATGGAGCCCAAGCTTCCTCTCATTCTATCTTAAAGATGTTCAGGATTGGCCTTACTAGAGCAAAATTGCTGTAAGCAGCCTGCAGTTTCCTGGTATGAGCAAGGAACTGTTTCTCCCTGCAAGAGGAGAGGAGACAAGCTGGATTTCTGCAAATGCAGTCACTCAGGCCTCTGGTACTTCATGCATTGATTCTGTCTTCCCTGCCCTTTCCAGCCTCAAAGACAACTGGAAAATTTGTAAGGAAAGGATATTAAGGGGGAGAAAGACACTTAAAATTCCATTCCCACAGCCTTTAATATGACTGTTGTTCTGTCTCTGATACTTCCTATGGGTATTCATCAGATAGAGGTTTCAGCTGCAATTAGGGGCTGTAAATGTTAGTATTGGCATCTCAATAATTCTTCAGATCTAGCTGTGGAGGGGATTGCATCCTAGTTGTTATAGGTTGTCTGATCACATTCTTCATAGAAGGGGAACAAGAAAACAGTGGTGACAGTGGGCATGGAATTCCTTATCTACAGTTCACTTCTGGGATTAAGAAAAGAGCATCTTCAGGGCATATAAACTAACATGCTTCAACAAATCTTTGACAGTGTCCAGTGCAGACTGCTGAAACTGTGTACAGCTTGCCTGTCCTCAAGCAGTGCTTGTCTCTGCTTTGTACCTTAGGCAGCATTTTCTTTTTGTTCCTTGCCCTAATGTGAAAACAGCAAAATACAACTTTCTCTTTCCTGGCATCTCCAAAGCCTAAAACCTAATTGTGTTTTAAATGAGGGCTTAGGTGATATGGAATAGTTCTGCATCACTGGGTGAATTCTGTGACAAGTTTTGCAGAAAGTAGAGCACATGGGTTCTCTCTTTTGTGCTCCAGCATGGAGGCAATGAGTGTGCTGTCATGTGTTAATGTGGAAGTAGCAGCCCATGTGGTTCAGGAGTGAAGGAACTATGTGTTCTTGTGGAACATTAATACTGTAAAATGTAATAGCTATGGTAGAAGAGAACTAAAATTGTTCCTGTCAAACTGTCAACATTACATTTAAGATTGAAAACAAACTGTAAAGATTATAGAGTTCATTGATTGCATTCCAATATGTAGGTAAATAGCACTTGATTCAGAATCTTTGTCCTGTGAAGGTTTTAAAAAGCTGGTCTGGGAGTAATTGATCTCAGTGTATCTTCTGGGAAAGTCAGTGAATTTTATTGTGTTTCTCTGAGTTACGATTTTTCAAGGTAAACGTTGAAGCAAGTTCGTTATTGTGTGTTCTCTTCCCTATGGGATATCACTTAACAGCTTTTGTTTGTTTTTAGAGGGTTCACCAGTGAAGGCAAAACCCAGTGAGAGAAACAAAGAGAAGAAAACAAGCAAACCAGTGCGGAAAGTGCAAAAACTGACACGGTTGTCAAGTCCAGAGTCCAAACAAGGTGACTAGCTGTGTTGTAAAGGGAAGGGACGTCCTTCAGAGATTAGTTTTCTCAAGAAATGAAGAAAAACTAAAGCCTATTGCTTTCAAAGCCTTCTCAGATGTGCAACAGTGCTGCTGCTGTCTGTGCGTTTGTAGACTATGCTGCTGCATTGGTTTTGTTGTTGGTTGGCTTTGTGTGTTTTTTCTGTTTATTTAAATTTCTCTGGCTCTCCCTCCTGTGTCAGGTT